CCTTAGACATGTGATTTGGTTTGCATAAATATTCCGCAGACATATCCCCCATCTCACAACAATCATGCACACTTGAAACGTTACATTGGTTATTCACTGTATGGAAACCAGGAGAGAGCTTTAAGCCAGCTGTCACTCACTGGTGAGCCTGATTGCCACATAAGGTGGTGGTAGTGCCTGACAACACTGCCACATTGAAATCTCAGCCCTCTAGATATGACTTTATTCTCAGCAGTATAAGAGATGGAAAACAGCCATGAACACTTTAATATTTCCTCCTCAGGAAAAGACTTCTAAAATTTTACTTTATAAGGCTTTCTCCAGCCTCAGGTAAATGATCTAATTCATTTCCGGGGAGGAAGCGTATTTTTAAACCTTGCCTGCTGATGCTGCAGTTTGCTAGGGCGTGCTCGGTAGAATGGCTATTCTAAACAAAAAAAATAACCAGTGGTGCTGCTGAGATGATGAAGAACACTAGTCACTCAAGTCTGCACTCAGAACAACAAGGAAACCCCCATAAGTCCAGGAAATAGGAGAAGTCTCCATGTCTGCCTACATGCTCACTGGATGACTTGTTTTGGTACACCAGTTTAATCCACTGGGTCCAACCAAGGCCTCCAAACTGCTCAAAGCAGCTCATCTGCACTTGCAAATAAACCACGTTCACTTTTTCAGTTTCACCAATTCCAGCAGTACAGATAAATGCAAGCAACGCAAGAGTTATGTGCACACAGCACAGAGTGAGCTCTTTTATCAGGTATATGAGAAAATGAAATTACTCTTCTAGCTCTGGTACAAAACTTTAACAAAAAAATATGCTCAAGACCATCAGAGATGGCAAAAGCTGTACCAGAAACTAGTTTGGGCAAGGGCTTAGACTTAAGAGGCTTGAATTTTCTTAAAATAATGATCACCCAGTTCTCCAGCAAAGACAAGAACACTGAGGGTCTGTTTATTCTTTCCTTTGTATGCTACAGTCTCATAAAGACTTCATACTGTAATCTTTGACTCGTAACGTCAGAGAAAATCCCACAGACACAGAAATAAGAGACAATTGTACGCCGACCCCTTTTATTAGCCCAGTGCCTCACCCAGCTGGTTATTCACACACACAGCAGTGAGAGCTGCACCGCTCACCTCACCTGGCTCTTACATTATCTTTTGTAATGGCAAATTGCAGTGCCCCTCAGCTACAATAAATCCAGCCAATTTTTCTTTTCAAGACAGATACCTCAAAAATAGGAAGCCACAGATGTAAAGCAGACAAGGCAAAAAAAATTTACTTTTGGTTTAGCTTATGCTGATGTCATTCTAGAGACTTCACTTTTAGTTACTGGGCATTTGCACCATTAAGAGAGCAGAATTCATCTCCCAAGGACAGGTTTTGTAGTAGTAAACAGGTTTTACTCCAGCTAGTCTGTAAAGTCCTTCCCTTGGTATATTTACACAGCTATAAGCAAGTCAGAACATCTTTCAGAGAAGTGAATTGCAGCCAGCAAAACTACAGCCCTAGGCTGATGCAGAAGTGGGTAGGGTTTTAAAACTTTCTGCAGCAGTTAGTGGTTAGGCACATAAAAGCACCCCACCCTCCTGCCCCAGGCAAGAGAGAATACACAGACAGTGCAGAGTGTACCTCATGCATCAGGATACATCACTTGGCTTTAAACAAGATCAACAGATTTCAGAAAAATGAGAGAAAGGGGTAATACATATGAGCCTTAAGACATAGTATGTTGACTAACATCCCAGATACTCAGTGGCAATGTTTAGGGGGAAAAGGCCTGGTTGTTGTGCCCAGCAAACTGTTAAATGGAAGTGATGCTCCTGACACTCTGGAAGAGAAGAATGCATAAAGCTCAGATTGGAATTTCTAAACTCAAAGCTGTATCCTTTACTATTACTTTCCATTTTGGCTTTGCTACTACAGATGATGTCCATGGAATTAAAACATGTCATTGTCCTGAGAACGCTGATGTGTCAGCCCCAGTGCTCTTCTGGTACCACACGATTATTGAGAGGGTACACAGATAGTATCTTTCAACTGTGCAGCCAAACTGGTGTACGCTTGGAAGAAAAAATAATCTGATCACTAAAATCTCAACAGAGAAATACCAAAGAAAACAAAACCAAGGAGCACATTTTCCTTTTGGTTCCTTGGGGAAACTAATTTCTCTGAAGGGAAGTGGTATGCTCAGTAAATAGAGATCAATAATTTTATTACCCAGTGCTCTATTTCCTACACTTTTTTTCAATTATTTTACTTATCCTGAACTATTCTGATCACAAGAGGAATCAAAGAAATCAAACAATAGCATTACAGTTCTTAATAAACACTGTATTGCAATGAATGTTCTACTGTGTGCACATACTGGTGATCTTAGCTGAACAGCATGAGAAACACTCAGCAGCGTGCCATAAACATGCCAGAATCAATGACACGTGGATAATCTGTTTTCCTCAAGGGAAACAGATGAGCAGTTTTTGAGAGGAAGGCTTCAGTCTGAATCTGGTTTGCCAATTGAAGAAAACATAATATCCATCACTCTTGTGTTTCTGCAACAGAAATACTGGAGAGTCACTGGATAGTGCCTGATGGCACTCTAGTTCCCAGCTCTGTCAGGGGCTTCTGGCCAAGCGCTGGGTGAGCCATGTTTTTGCAGTACTGTGTAAACACCTGGTAAATTCACAGGTAAATGGAGTAAACACAGCTAAACACTTAATACCAACCTGAACAAGATCTTTTCCTAGAGTCACTGCCCATCAGTGAATACAATATTTCCTTTCCTCTACTCTAGATGTAGCACACTAAACTCACACACCCAATGTGTGGCACCATTGCTCCATAGTCCCAGTTCCAAACAATCTGTCATCTCACCTGGGGTGGGGCATGCGGGCGTTGCTCTAATTAAGTGCAATGATAATGCACAGGATGACTTTTTCATGTGTTATGTTCCTCTAAAATCTTACTGGAATCTCACCTGGCAAATGATCTAAAAACTCAAACTTTCTGTTTTTCTTGTGCAACTCATCTGTTAACATGTCTGTACAACAGAGCATGAGTAATTTAAAGCAGGGACCATCCTTGAGATTGAAGGAAATACCCTGTGAACTTGGAGACATGCCATCACAAAGCTCCAGAGCATCTGAGATCCAACCCTCTTGATAAATTTGCAGCAGAAGTTCTATTAGCACTTCCGCTGTTGCACTCAGGAGTCCATTTTTTACATATTTAAAAATTAAAATATTTATGACGTTAAATTAGCTGAAGGTTTAAAAAAACAAACTCAAAACCCCAAAAAGAGGCAGATTTAAAAAATGCTTCCAAACTACCTCAACACTTGGGATATCGTTCAACGGGGTTTTTTTGGTAGATGGTTACAAAACATAGTACAACACCACATAAGGAAAATTCCCACATTTGCTACTGAAAATATTACTTCTAAATCAATTTCACCCACAGATATAATCTTATAAAAGGTGTAACCTTAAGGCCTCAAGTTCTCAGATTTCCCAAAACAGCTTGTTGTAGATGGGTTTTGAATGCTTTGATACCTTTTACTGCAGGAAAGTAAAAGGTTGCTATCAACCCTGTCAAATCCTACTTGAAGTGTGTGAATCTATGAAAACTCATGGTCAAAACCTCAGCAACTGCTAACATGTTATCACACCTACAACACTCAGTGCTTACTCACCTCTCAGCTCCAGACTCTTTCTGGTCTCAACAGAGATAGGAGTTACACAAGGTGAAGAGAAAATAGAGTGTCCTCATCTGCAGCAGTGGGGAGGAACCAGGCAGGAAATTAATGCAGTCCTGACACACAAGCTAAGGGCATGATCCAGCCAGAGCATGTGGGTGCCTGTCCCCCACATGCAGCTCTCTGCACAGCTGCGTGAGGCATCGATGCACAGCTCGGGGCCCTTCGGCTGTGGGCAGTGCTGGAGGAACCCTGGAAATCATCCCTAAGGATTGGGAGCTGTCGTTGCTATGGCTTCCTCAGCTCATTCTGTTGGTCCTGACAGTTACAGCTGAAAAACATTTTGTACAAATCAGTTTTGAGAAAAGTAAATCCACATGGGGAAGCCAGGTGCGCAGCTGATAGAGACAGGAAGATCACTCTTGCTTCAGCAGCACCTTTGAGTGTCAGGGAACTCTCTAATCCTGAACTGCACAGTGCAGCCCCAGCTGGGACTGCTCCTTGTCACAGTCACCATCTCCCTGTTTCTCCAGTCAAATTTCTTCATTTTCTCTTCTGTCCCGTAACCATGACAGTGCTGCTCAGGTCACACATCTCCAGTGAGTCCCTCAGTTACACTTTTTCCCCTTGTGTGAGGAGACAGTTCCTCAGATAAATGCTTTTGCAGCTTGAGGTGAGAGCTGTGCCTCCCTTGGCTGTGACAAAAGGGCCTACTGTGCTATCCATGGTGGGCAGCGCTCCATGCCGAGGCAGAACCTGGCTCCCTGGCACAGGGACACTTGCAGGGACATTGTCTTATCTTCTTCAGCTAGGCCAGGGAAGGTTTAGGTTGGTCACTAGGAAAAATTTCTTCACAGAAACAGTGAGTGGAATTGGAACAGACTGCCCACGTATCTCCTGGAGTCACACCCCTGGAAGTGTTTAAGACTGAATGTGGTACTTGGTGTCATGGTCTAGTTGACATGGTGGTGCTGGGTCATAGGCTGGATTCGATGATTTTAAAGAACTTTTCAGCCTAACTGATTCTGTGAGGTGGCACCTGGCCTCGGCCCAGACCCCAGCCACGGGGTGGCGGGCCCACGCTGGCCTACGAGACACTGCACCGCCTGGCATGCCCGGATGCAACAGGAAAGACTACGAGGTCCCCGGGCATGCTCCGCGCTTCCCACCCGTGGAACCGGGATCAGGACCTCCCTCAGGCTCGGCGCCCGCCCCTCAGCCCCACAGCGCCTCCCCCTGCGCGCAGGCGCGAACAGCTCGCGCCGCCCGGGCAGGCGCGGCGCGCAGGCGCGGGGCCGCCCAGGCCCGCCCCTGGCCGGCAGCGGGAGCTTGAAGCGCTGAGGGGAGCGAGGGACGGAAGGGCGGTTCCGCCGGGCGCTTTCCTTCCTCGCCCGGGTCCTGGGGGATTTGTGCTCCCCAGGGGGCTCCCTTCGCTCCTCAGCCCTGCAGGTCGGTGCTGTGGCTGCGTTTTTTGGGGTGTAGCACCTCAGAACGAGCTCCACGGGTCTGTGGCTCTGCTTATGGGCTGCCCAGCGTTCATCCCGCTTCTCTGCGGGTGGAAAACTAGCAAGGCAAAAGTTTGAGTGTTAATAGAGTGTTAAAAGTATTGAGTGTTAATAGAGCCTTTTGTTGTTGAGACAGTAAGAGGAGTGAGTGCCTTTATATAACGTAGCTATAAGAAGGAAAACTGAGGACGTAGTTACAGACCTACCCAAAGTGCACAAGTCAAGTAAGTACTGAGAAGCAAAATTGTCTTTTCCCCTTCTAATTCAAATTTTCTTTACTTGCTGGACAGATTTTTTTTGTGCAGTGAACAGCATTACTGGTTGAGAATGCCAAGGATTCTTAGCCAAAGATACAGAAGAAGGATTTTAAGAGTGCAGGAGATCTGTGTGAATACGCTGCCAAGTAACAGCATCAGCAAACCAGTGGAAAAAGTATTTGTTATGGCCATTTAAAAACGAATTTGCATTAGAAAGTAAAGGCAGAGAATCGTAGGATTGCTTGGGTTTTTAAAAGCTGTCTCTTATACTTAAAATGATTTTGCTCCTTGGGAAGACTTACTACGTGCTTGTGATATACAGTATGCATAAGAATGATGCTTTTTCTAGGCTCTTGCTTACAACAAGGAATAATAATATTAAGCTTCGATTATATTTAATGGATGCTGTGGGCTTCCTGTTTAATTGATAGATTGGTAAAATACCCAATTAACTAGACTCCTTACTAAGGTCTGGGTTTTTTTAATAGAGTACCATATGTTCAGTTTTGAACAGCTGTGGGAGAATATTGACTTCTAAGATAAAAGAGGACTTCTATCCTTTGGTAGCAAGCCAGGAAGACCAGGGTTGCTGGGCTGTTAAGGCTTTGGCATACTGAAGCTTTGGCACTTTTCATCTGTGAAGAGGAAGCCCCTCGTGCCAGCCCTGTGTTGCCTAGTTTTGGTTTGCAGGATTTTATTCTTGAGAGGCTTCTGTTTCAAAGCTCATAATTGCAGTTTGCAGGTGAGTGGAGGTGTAGCTGTTGATTTTCCAGCTGCATTCTGGTCATCAATTGCTAAATAAAATTAAACATTGCCAAATCGATTTGAAGTTGGCTTGTGCTGGGAGGTGTGACTTAACCATTTTAATTAAGGTGCCTTTCTGAGTGAGCTTGGGATGTTTCCTGTTAATCAAAACTTCCACCTGTGTGAGTAATTACTTTTTTAAGCAGCACCCCCAGAAGGATCAAATGAGACTGGATTGTTTTCAGAGACCTGGATACCCAATTATATTGTTCTGTAGAAAAGATTAATTGTTTATATTTGTGGACAACAAAAACCTTCCTGCCTCCATAAAGCTTTAGGAGTGAGGGGAAAAATAATATATAAAATGGATAAAATTTATATAAATTAAATATATTTTATATAAAATTTATATGAAAAGATAAAATTCATAGTAAAAGACTTTATGGCACTTAGTAGTGTCATGCATCCTCTCAAAGAAAAGCTGTTCACAAAGCAAGATGCTACTTGGCACATGAAATAGTTGTGTAACTTATGCACATGTCCTTTTTGAACATGCAGATGTCTTTTCTGGACATCTAATTCTTTTTGAATTAGAAAATAAGCCTTAGAATTTCATATTAGAGCTTTTTACTCATTTCTGCAGCCAAGGGCTCCTTATAATCAGGTGACAATGACACCATAATTCCTTCTGTCATTTAGCAGAAACAGCTATTCATCTCGAGATGGAAGAGTCGGTGCTGGATAAATTGCCATCTTTGTGCAACACTGCAAAGGATTCTGGGGCACCACCTGCACAGGGGACTAGTTCAGGGAAACAGGTATGAAAACTTCCTACTTTTCCAATAGTATGATTGTTCATAGTAACAAAAATGCTGGTGAAGTCATCAAGGAGTCAGAAGTCACTGAGACAGTGCTTGCTGGAAGGCCAGAGACAGGCACCTTATACCTCCAGCTGCGAGGCTGTGCAGGTAAGGAATGTGCCTGGGGTACTTTGCTGTGAATACAGAGTGGTGGAGCAACAAAACCCAATGTCATATGAATACATTTAAATACTATATAGGGTGTGGATTGTTTTCTTCTTTGTTTTAACCTAGCATCTTCAGTTTTCTCAAATCCTAGTTTTCTGGGTTGCTGTGCATGCAGGATGACTTTCTGTGACTTCTGCCTGCAGTGGAACAAAGTACAATGCTTTCAGTTTGTGTATTCTCCATAGTGCTGAGCTCTGCTTTGGTTTATCCTGGGATGTGAAATGGTGATACTGTCACACTCAGCATTCAGATCTATGCAGGACAGGCCTGGTTTGAAAGTATTCCAAAACTAATCCCTCACTCCTGTATTTTAGTGCATTTCTATAAATAAAAATGTTAGTCACAGGTTATAAAAAATAGTTATTTTGAAGAACAAAAAGTCTTTTTAGAGGGTAGTGAATTATGTCAAAGAACACACCTCCATTAAACTAGGGGGAAATTGATGGAATAAAATGAGCCAAGTTGAAATATGCCATTTTTTTTTTTTTACACGAACACCAGATGAGTAAGTTTGCCTCAGTAGAATACAGGACTTTGTCCAAGAAAATGTGAAGCCACACCCTTCCATATCTTGCAGCTGTGTGTGCAAATAGAAGTGAAAGGAAGAAGCTGACCTTGTTCAAGTTTTTGAAGGCTATACAGAGAATGATGAAGTCTGGCTTTACAGTGATAGTTAAACATATTCCACATTCTATGTAAATAATAATGATTGGTAAACAGTTATTTGATAAAAATTTAAGAATATTCTGACCACCTGGATTTTCTGGGTTTATTTATTTTATTTTTTAGCAAATGAGTGCAGCTCTGAGGGAACGATTAAGGAAAACAAGACGTTCATTTAATGCCAATTTTACAGTGGCAAAGCGGCTCAAAATAGACTCTGAAGAAAAAGACGCTGCTGGTGCTGCCACAGGGTGCTTGCCAGAGACAAGTCCAGACTGTTCCAGGTTACAAGATGGTGCTGAAAACCTGGAAGGAAATGGCACTGGACATGCATGTTTCAAAAGTCCCTCACAGGAGGGTGATCCCTCTGGATCAGCAGAGAATTCGGATGTGCTACAGGTTGATCTTGGTCAGCAGCAGTCCCTTGAAGAGAAAGTGAAGCTGGAGAAACAAGTGCAGGAGAAGGAAGAGCTACTTCGTAGGCTCAGACTGGTGAAGATGTATCGATCCAAGGTCAGGCAATACTTCCTCACTGGTTTTTTACTGTGGTGGGTGTGTATTGTCTCAGTTAAGGCATTTTATAAGAATAGCTGCAGGGTATTAAAACCCCCTTTATGTCAGCAGATGATGACTCTTTTTTTTTGTTTGTCCCAATTTCAGAACAACCTGTCTGAGCTGCAGGCTTTGATAGCGAAGTGGAGGAGTAGCACCCAGCTGATGCTGTATGAGCTGCAGTCGGCCTTTTCTGCAGACAGCAAGAAAGTGAGTCTCACTCGGCTCATCGACACTTTTGGGTTAGAAGACCAGTTACTGCACTACAGCAGAGCAGAGGAAGATTTTGTAGATGCATAATCTACAGCTGCAGAGCTTTCTTTGCACAGACACAAAAGCAGACTGAATAAATTCTGATTGTGTCAGAAGTGTTGGTCAGACAACGGACTTTATGCTTTGGGGTTAGGAGGTTTTCTCCAGACACACTTGTGAAGCTGTGTGCATATCTACAGTAGGCACTGTAAAAGGCATTACTTAATGGAAAAAAAAATCAAACTGGTGATGTTTTGGAGAATCTGGCTTAATGACTTGGTCGGTGAATTTTTATTTAATAAAAATAAAATTAAGTCATAGTTTAATGGGTAGAAAGCAGTCAATTTTTTTATTAGTGTCTGCATGGTTACCTGTATTGAAATAACTCAAATTGTCAATTCTGTTTATGTTCAGATGGGGAAGAGTTCAGTTTGTTTATAGATACACCCATTTTACACATCTTCCTGGTGCCAGTCAGCCAGTGAAGGCTAATGACAGCAGTTTGTGAGTTAAGTGAAGATAACTAATTTTCATTATGGTAATATTCCAGAGCTGAGATAAGATGTTTACACTAGCTTTAGCCCCTGCTGAGGGAAATGTGTCATAATGCAGTTGCTTTCAGGTCATGGTTGCAGACAGTCTCTTCAGAGCTGCTGTCTCATAAGCATTCTGCTACAGCCTGAGGCAATAGAAGGGAAGGCAAGAAAATTGAAACCAGCTTTCTACTCTACTACATCTGAGAGCCAAGGTGTTTTCTCTCTTCAAATAAATAAGAAAAACAAGGCCTTGTTTAATGGGATTGCTTCAAACAGCATCATAAAGCTGAATAAATCTTTACAATTTCATTTATTCTCCAACAAATGCCTTTTTTGAAAGTTGTTTTTATTTAACTTGAAATTGCTTATTTTCTCATCATGGTACCTTTTGTTTTTCATTTTCCCTAAAATCACTGCTTCTCAAGTGTAGCAATACATAAATCTTAATGACTATACAACTCTCCCTGCTAGGAATCTTGTTTTCTTATTGGTTATACCCTACCTCTTTTGTTTGCAGGTGCTATATCCTGTGTCCTTAATAAGGGAGTAATTTCTTAGCTCAAGAGAAAGAAAATCAAAGATCATACAGAACCTTTTAACCATTGGTAAGGCTCATTAGACTTCAGCCTCTACCTACAACTTGCTCTTAAGAATACTGACTCCTGCATTAATTCTCTCTGGACAGCAAAACAGCCTTTATTGCAAATCACATTTTGAGTATTAAAGCACTATTTCTCTGCCTTTTTAGGCATGTGTAAAAAGATGATGGTGCCTGGTGCAGGGGCCAGTTATCTTCCCCAAGGCTGGAATGATGCTGCTTCTAGGGCAGTTTTAGCACAAAGGCAAAAGGTCTTGTAGTAAGTGAGATGCAATTAGAATCCTTACAAATCCCACTTAGAGATGGCAAAGCAAAAAAAAAGAGATGTACAGGATCACAACTGACATAGCAGAATTTTAAGCTGAGGTCTCAAAGCTATAATGAAATAGGTTTAGGTGCCATGTGACTTTATGAAAGGAGAAGGATTGGCACACACCATGGAGCAGGGAAATGAAAAGCAGGGACAATGCCCGAGAAGGCAGATCGGGCTCCAGCAGTAGTTAACTTTATCACAGGTTCTTTATCTTTCTGTCGTGGAAGGAGCTGGCAGGAAAATACATCTCAGTGTAAAGGGGTGGGAGATGCCAGCAACTATTTCAGGAGGCCAGATGCTTCCAAACCTGGTTTTCCTGTGATTCTGCCCGTGGCAGCAGCCACAGTTCCTGCTGGTTGTGGGTGATTATACCACAATGAGGCACAGCTGCCTTTGGGATGAGGCCAGGTTGCACACATGGTTGTTTTCTGTAATGAGCTATATGGTTTCTATAATAAAACCAGTAGAAATAAATCTCATCAACTGAAATATAACGGGGTTAAGACCAGGTATAAAAAATACAAATCAGACAACCACGCATCTTTCAAATGGAAGTTATTTAAAGGAATTGCAGAAGAAACAATTTGTGGAAAGGAAAGTTCAGAGAGAAGAATCAGCTGTCAAAAGTCTTTTCCCTTAGATAAGACCATGGTATTATCAAGCTTTGATTTTTAAATAATATGGAGTGTTCTTGGATTCCAACTTTCAATTTCTGATTGAAGAATTGCAAGCTGTTTTTCCTGTTCCCTTATAAGGTTCCGTAGATATTTCTGCTTCACAATCTCTTGGTAACGCTGCCTTGTGATCTCTTCAGAAATATCCCGTGTGTCTGCAGAAAACAAAGGATTAGTGTTAGCCTGTGCTCACAGGGGCTGTGCAGTCTCTATGGGACCTGTCCTGGGGTTATTCCAATTTCTGTATAAAACAGGCAAGCATTTTAAAAAAGGCTCACGGTTGGGTTTAAGAGCCTTTATAGTACAGAATAAAGCAAAATATTCCAAAAAGGCACTGGGCATGCTTTCTTTAGCTTCTAGCAAGTACCCACTGTGTTGCAAATCTGTAATTGTTTTCCACTAGTGGAAAGATCTCTAAGTTTTCCTAACAGTGAATACTATTCTTAGCTCCACATTACTTTCTCTGTTCTCTTGGAAGGGTGGAAAGAAGCCCATTGAACAGCTCTCAGAAAAAAATGAAAGCATGTTGCCTAATGAAGTTATTAATGAGTGTAATATTTTGACTTGAACATTTCCAGGAATTCAGCTAGCTTTGGTTACAAAAGCCACAAGAGTCTCCAGGTAACTCTTCAGTAACCGTGTTAGTTTTGGCAGGAAGGACTCTGCTCGTTGTGCAAACACACAACAACAAACAGACAGGCATTCCTTGCCCCTCAGCTGATGGTGGAGAACAGCACTGTCCAGCCTTGGAGTTATTTTCTGAATGTTTGTGCCTTAAGTGCATCACTGGACTCACCAGCTGCCTCGAAGATGTGCATCCTTTCTGACACAGAGACAAGCATTTCCTTCAGCTGCAGGCTGAGCTCGTAGTTCTCTTGCTCTTTTAGACAGATACACTTCTTCAGCTCTCTGACTTTTTTCTGATGGTTTCTCACATTCTTCTTGTGCAACTGTCCATTTTGGGATGAATAAAGCAAATATACGAGGTCATACAAAAACTGTTTAGACAAACTTATGATGAAAAGTTATAATTTTAAGCACTGTGTTGCACCTTGATAAACTCTAATGTATGTTGAATTGACTAGTAGGACATGGTAAGCTTTACTTTGGAAAGTGTCTTTCACACATGGTATCTCAATTTACAGAGTTCTAATTTAAGGACCAGCCAAGGAATAAAGAGGTATAGGTCAGGAAGAGAGCTATATTAAAGATAAAACATAAAAGGCAAAGGGAGGAAAGGAAGTCAGTGGAATCAGTGAGTTAAGGACATGCTCTGAAGCTGCTGAAGCTGATGGATGGGCTGTAAAGGGACAAGTTAAATACTAAAGCTGGAAGAGGAAGCTGATGCCAACTAGCACAACTTGGAGAAAATCCAGTGAAATCACTTTAAAAAAAAGGACAGTCATAATTTCAATGATAAAATACATGAAGTAGGCAGCAAATCAGATTGTTGGGTCTCTTATCTTGAATACAAAGGGGAGGGATACTTTGAACAGGCTAGTGCTCCTGGAGAGACATTAAACAGTGAAGATTGAAAGAATGCTTCATTAGAAATGGAGGAGTGACTTTTATAGGCAGTGCTGTGTAAGAAATGATTAGCACATCTGCATTCAGATGCTCAGGATAGGAAAGTATTTAATTCCAGTAACAGAGCAAGTAGACAGGCTTCATCTCTGCAGCAATCCATGTGTGATGACTGCTTCCAAACACTAGAGAACTGCTGCTGTAGACAGCACAGCTCAAGTTGAGGAAACGATTGAAAGCTAGATGGACAAATACATGGTATATCTATATTTATATCTATATATCTATGTGTCTCTCAGATGTGGTGGTTCCCTTGGATTTACCTTATCCATGATGCCAAGGCTCTGCTCCATCCCTGCTAGGTGCTGAGCAATGTGGGTCTCGTAGTTATGCACAGTTAGGAACTGAAGAAATAAAACCAGAAAGAAATTATCTTATGCCTGTTCATTCTTAACAATTCCACCCTTCTATGAAGAAAATCATACTATGTGAAACTCAAAACACTGGAATTCTGCAGTGGTAAAGATTACTAGTGATCATAAATGGACCTTGTAAGGATATGCTTGGATGCTGTGTCAGTACTAGACCGTGCAGCTGATGTTATCTATTTTATCTATTATATATTTATAGTGGAAACAAGGGCCAAACAAGTTGCTGAAGCTGTCAAAAACCCCAAGCTATGCTTTTGCTTGTAATCTAAGTTAACATAGCTGGAGCCCTAAGACAGTCTGTCTTTAGGCTAGAGAGGAAAATTATTATTTTCTGTCTAGTGGCTTCCTAATCATTCTTACTCCTTTTATTCTATCTGCATAGTAACTGACATATCAGAGAATTTATTGATTTTTTCCTTGAGCACACTGCTGCTAAAATACCTCTTTATCAAAGGACAAATGGTAAACCCCATAATGTTTTATGGATCTATAACAGGCAGTAGACAGGTTTCTGTAGATGTAGATTCATCCTTCCAGAGTACTGTCCCACCATAGTGCCAGGCAGAATCCTGTGGAATGTTCTAGTTAGAGGAGGAGAAACAGAAACGACCCAGAAGGGGCTCCTTGCCTACAGGATTAAACTTCTTTCACTCACTGCTTCATTAACAACCCTCATTCCAAATGGTCTCAAATCCTTGCTCACACACATTTTTATAAGCCATCTTTGCATTCCTGTTGTTGGGGTATCTGTTACCTTGTCCTTCCCACTAACCCCATATTTCTAATCAAAAAGTGACCTAAGTCAATTCCCTCAGGGCATTCAAATTCTGATTAAACTGGTAAATGCCTTTACTATGGGCAGTTTAACTATCTCTGAAGGGCAAGAGCTCTGCTCATCGTTTAATGAACTGAGCTAATGGCAACACTGGTGATAAATTTGCCACAAGAATTTTTCAATGCACTGTCACAACACCTCTTCGGAAAGCTGTTCTGGTGATTGGTGCTAGTAATGAAAGTCCTGTGGCTGTGATTCAGAACAAGCATTTTGTGGACCAGCAATACAAATGAAGATTAAGCAAAACATATATTTTGAATTTTCTTCTAATCCTTCAGTTGAATTGCAATATCCTTACCTGCTGTCCAACACTTTCCTTTTCCTCTGTGCTTTATAGCTGTCCCACTGCTTATCTCCAACCTACCCATCCTTCAACATCCCTTACTCCAAACCTTTATGCCACCCACATCATCAC